GTAGCGATAACTGCTGGATTGTATAATGAAAGAAAGATCTGTCCGCCGATGCCGGATCCATAGTGATTCCTTTTAAAGAGGCTCTCCTTCTCAAGGTATACGGTATTGGCTCTTTATATTTAACATAAGAAGTCAAATAAGCAGAAGCTTGTCCCGCAATAATATTACGAAGAAGAAGGACGTTATGAATATCATAAAGTTTCTGAATGTCCGTCCAGTCCAGTATCTCAAAGACGCTCTCTTTACTAGACAAGTGAAAGGCTCCAGTAACTAGAAGCAGCCCTATACTGCAACTGCTCTACAGGCTTTAAAGCCATCTTTGTAGTGCATGAATAGATAACATCTGCGTAGTTCAATACCGTAAGAATATATGATTTATATATTTGGTCTAGCACTGGTGTATAGAAGGTGTACTTAAACTTCATTATCATTCCCAGAACAGAGTGACATTTAGAAACGATATAAGCGATATGACTTCTCCACGATAATGATGAAGTAAAATAGACTCACAGATGCTTATGTTTATCAACTCAATCCAGAACATGATCTGCAATCATCAGTTTCTCAACGAAGACGCAAGTTAATCGAATTTTAAAGGTGACATTCTGAATCAGCGTAAAATTCTGCGTCTAGAGATATGCAACAAGAGTGGATTGCGAATTTCACTGTAACTTCGAATTTGAAGCGCCTTACGAAGCAGCCAATCAAGTGACTCGAGTGACGACGATTACAGTGATTTCGAACAAAATCGACGCAAGACTAAAAATGCACTACTATCCATTTCAATGAACAATGGAGTCGGTTTTAGGTTGAATAACTCCGGATAGGAAGCAGCTGGAGACCTGCGGTTTTCAATATTCGAAAGAGAATATACTCTTTATTAAGAAATATCGAAAGCTGGTTGGTCAACAATTGGCCAATCAGGTGAGTTTTTTGGGCACTGCCTGGAGAAAAGCTTCCCCGTTGGAATTGAAATTCTGTGACAAGTTACTTTTTAAAATATTAGAAACCGAACCTGGCACGTGATTCTGAAGATCTGGTGATAGTGACGAGTACTGAGGATTAGTAATTAAAGATTATTGGAAATTTGATACTATCGATCAGTCTTCTCATCTAATACCGTACCCGTGGATAAGATATGTTTGTAGAGTTTGTGTAACACCAGATTCATCACATTCATGGACATACATAGTTTGTACGGTCAAACAATCAAATATATTCTCAATAACTTTTAGATAAAGTTTTTTCAATTCACTTTATTCTTTCCTAAAAGCGATCTCAATTTCATGACGATATCTCGAGGTCATTAATTCGGCTGCATAATTCGGGTAAAAATGTATGTCTTCAAATTTTCCTTTTATACAGAAGATAGAGGAGTATCTGGAGAATATGAATAGCGGAACACATTTTTAATTACACAAATATTACACCTTAATTGGGCCATCAAAAATTAGATACAAAAGTGTGCTAATATTCGGCAAAACTCTTCAAACGGCTACAATTTGCTAGCACCATGCGAGATTGTTCACATTCTCACTTCATATAATACAGAACGATCTCTTCTACAACTTCTCTGAAGAACAAACTCTTCAGAAGGTTCAGATTAAGTGGGTCGCTGAAAAGTAAACAACTTTATAACGACGCTCAACGGAGATTTGACAAAGAATGTAGTAAGGCTAAGTTGAATCACTTTAACAGAATTAATCAGGTAAATAGTGGGAATAAACACTGATGGAAACTCGTTAATCACAACATTCGTAGAACTTGTACATCATCCATACCAGTTCTTCAGAACACCAACTCACAGTTAGTTTACGAGGACAGAGATAAGACTCATTTGTTGAATGAGCATTTTACTCCCGTGTGCAGTATGTCTTTGGTAGATTATAATGCTCCCATTCCTCTTCCTAATAATCCTGACGTATCTTTTGCTCTCCCACTATTTTTTGTGTCTGCTCAAGAAACAGAAGACATTCTCTCTCAGCTTGATGTTAATAAAGCGACTGCTCCAGGAATTAATAACCGTTTGCTGTTAGCAGCGTTCAAATTTCCGAAAAAGGAAATTTCCCTCATAAATAAAGCAATTTCAGAAATTTTGACAATGCAAAACTAATAAAATGAGACAATACCGAAGTTACCATATATTCCAACATATAATACAGATTCATCCATGAACCAAAAACAGAAATTTACCAGAAATTACCTAGATTCACCTCAAAACCATATTCTCTAGAAATTTCGGTAATTACCCACTAACGAAAGAGAAAATTTCTCATTGATTCCCAAATTGCAAACATTTTCAAAATTGCTTCTAAGTTACTTGCTGTTAAATAACAATAACTGGAACCTTCTGATCGAAAGGATAACAGTTAACTGGCCACGCCGCACACAAAATATAAAAATTTTATGTTGAAGAAAGAGTAGATGACTTTCAGTCTTGTTATCGTAAGACATCTATTTAAGTGCTAAGTAAAAATATATAAATGCTAAGTAAACTTTGTATTTGCTCAGTAAATAAAATGAGTGCTAATTGACAATGTTGAACGCTCAGTTAATTTATAGTTTCTCAGTAATAAAAATATTTGCTAAGTTAGATAACTAATATCCAAGGAAAATTCTTTTCTTGCTAAGTTAATAAATTGAAATCATAGTTATTAAACAAAATCGCTAAGTAAAAATCAGTTAGTTTCTAATAAAGATTAAGTACGATTATCTAAGATAGGATAAATTTTTTTTATCATGGTATGGCGTATACATTTTCTCTATCTTTCTGTCTGTCAGATATGATCTGTATTGGTTTTTTAAGATTGTTTTTTTTGGAGTTTCCGATTTTTTAGTAAGTTCCCACATCCATCGATCTGCCATTGAAACTTTACTTCAAATTTATGGTGTGGTTGTCAGTGTAGATACAAGAGTGTTTGTAAAACGAAAGCTTTCACTAACACCTAGAACTTATATCGACAAAACTCTTCGTTAAAATTAAAGTTGCTGAGAACCCATTTTAATTGGTTCATGCACATAAGGATGTAAGTGGATATAGGTTATGTGAAAGTTACGTTACTTCCCGAACTCCGCACACTTTTAATAAAAAGTGACTATATTTATATCCCAAACTCGGCACATAATTACATAAATTCAAAATGTACGTGATCTCAATCTCCGCACACTTTTTAATTACCAAGTAAAACATGGACTGTAAGAAATAGAAAAATACATATACTCTTTCATATATTCTTAATTTGATTGTGATATTTCGTCCGTATAGCGAAAAGGTACTGCTACGTTTAATTATTTGAATATAAGTTAAATGTTGTGTAAATAATATAAATGATGACTGATACGACAAATGATTAAAAATCAAGAAATTCTGGGAAACTGTTGGAGAAATTAGGACAGCTAATATCAGAAATGAGTAATCAAATAATTCCTAAAAGGGTATATATTCTCTTCTGCAAAAATACATATATACTCACAAATATTTTACGAAATGGAATTTGACATTGAAACCGGTCAGCGTGGTTCACAAGTTTGCATTTATAATTCACATCGATATCGTCACATCAGAAATAATAAAAAAGGTTCAGTATCATGGCACTGTATCAACAAGGAGTGTAGCGCTACGATATTAATTCATTCAAACAAGTCCTAGCACATACGAGATATCAACAAGAATTAACTGGATAAAAGCTAAGCAAGAAACAACATGTATCAACTGAGAATCAAGCATTTAAATTGTGTATAAATAAAGAAGCGTATGAACTGGGTGAATTGAGCCTTGAAGAATATATGTCGAGCGTACGGGCAGTAGTTTATCGCTATATAGACGTAATATCACAATCAAATTAAGAATATATGATATAAGGATATATTTTTCTATTTCTTACAGTCCATGTTTTACTTGGTAATTAAAAAGTGTGCGGAGATTGAGATCACGTACATGTCAAATTTATGTAATTATGTGCGGAGTTTGGGATACAGATATAGTCACTTTTTATTAAAAGTGTGCGGAATTCGGGCATGAACCGAAAGTTAGTCTTCTTGTCAAAAACATCTCTATTCCCAGACTCCATCACAATAGAAAATCAGACTATAGTATTGTTTCAGCTGCTTCAAAAAATACATTTGCAAATATATTATTGGTATGGATATTAGGTTGAAGTTTTGAAAACCACCCCCATCAGCACAGAATGTACCACTGAGTAGAAAACGAAAAAGAGGACGGCCACAAAAAGCAACAAAAGCTTTATTAATACAATAACTGTACAGTTAAAGTTTTTTACTTCGATATTTATGTTTCTTTACTTAGCAAAAACTATTTATTTACCTATTGATTTCTAATATTTTGCTTAGTAAATCCAACTTATTTACTTAGAGTTTAAATAAAAAACTGAGCAAAAATGCTTTTTTTACTTAGATTTATGTTCAATAAATTACTTAGAAAAAATGAAATTTTTCACTTGGCTTTTATTAAAAATCACTTAGCACTTAAATAGGTGCCTTATCGTAATTGTCTCTCTATATGAGTATATCTAATAAATATTTCACACTCAAGAACATCAAGACGTCAAAATAATTGCTATTTGCTCAGTTTTTGGTTTGAATCATATTGCCTTTTCAAGTTTTATTATTATTTTTTTGTTTCTATATATATTTGTACAAATACTAAATATTTCTGATAAACATGTGTGTAATAAAATACAACAACAAAAAGGAAGAGCAAAAATGTAATTTTTTCCAACATTAAAACAATAGCACAACAACAATATCAGTAGAAACTACAATAAATAAATCGTTATTTTTATGACGTATATTATCCTCATCAACATCGTTCTTTAATGAAACGGAATGAGTAAAGAGCAAAATGAAAAAAGAAAATCATTAAAAACTTTTGTCATACCATAATCAGTTGTTCTTTTTTGTTTCAATAAAGTTACAGCATACAGAAGTTAAATTCTGTTTTTTTAGAATACACACATTAATTAATTTCAAATAATTTTCGAATGATAGCACCATCGCTAGAACCAGATAATAAAGAATCAACTATTGATATACTCTATGATTTATGTCGAGAAAATCAAGTTGAAAAACTTCAAAATTTGCTTACATCAGTAGATAATATTAGCATATTGAATACAATTCAAAATTTAACTGGTTCAACATGTCTGCATGTCGCGTGTTATTATGGACATAAAGAACTGGTTCAAGTTTTATTAGATTATGGTGCATTGCCTTCAACTAAAAACAGACATAATTTGACAGCATACGAAGAATCATCTGCTGAGGAAATAAAACAGTTATTTATTAATAAACGAATATTTTATTCTGAAACAGATTATGATCACATTCAATGGTCAATTACCGGTCATGATTTAATAGAAAAACGTCGAGAATTTCTGCAAACAATTTATTTATATAGAACATACAATAATCGTCATCCAATTATATCAAAATTATTAGCAGAAGTAATTCATTATTATTTAAATGAACATTTGAAGAACATGTCTCGTATCGGTAATTCTGGAGATCGAATTACCGAAGAACAAATTAAAGTTATTGAAGATTATTTTCGTAAAGCTATAGATGAAAAAGATTATCTGACATATTTCATAAAAGCTTACACATTAACAGATTATTTTCATAGAATATTAAATAAACATTTAGCTTTATATATTCTACAATATTTTGATCAAACAAAAGATTTCTGTTCAAATTATCGTCTAGTAAATTGTCTCGTACATATTGTTACTCTATTAAAATTTCATCCAGATATTTGTAGATATCAATACAAAGGTGTATGTTATCGAGGAATGAGAATAACAGAAAATGATTTGAAACCATATCAATTAAATCAACATATATTAAATCGATCATTTTTATCTTCATCAATTGATTATAGAGTTGCCAAAATGTTTGCTGGTGAAGGTGAACAGTCTCAAATGCGACATACTTTTGATCAACGTCCATTACAATTTTCATGTTTATGTCAATATAATATTGTACAAAATTCAACAGCTATCAATGTACAAGATTTATCAATGAGACCGGATGAAAAAGAAATTCTTATTTTACCATTTGCTGTTTTCAAAGTGGTGAATCTCAAACGAAATTATATTGATGATTCACAAGCAGCAATTTCAGTTGAAATTGAATTAGAAGAATGTGAAGATCCAGGTAACAATAATAAAAAATATTCGAAAAAAACTTATATTGACTTTTTCTTACTTCTGCAATTTTTAAGAGCATAAAAAGTTCATTTATTTCAGAACCGGTAAATACTTTAACCTGCAATGGCGGAACAGAGAATCTTTTCATAAGCTGTATTTTTTTAAAATTGCTAAAAACATTAATTCTGTATAGGCGAGAGAGCGTAAAGTGAACAGCAGTTCTAGAAATTTTCTCCGATTTTCCATAAATTCACTCAGCAGATTAATTGACTACTTGAAGACTCAATATAGCTGGATCTATGCAATTAGGCAAAATTCAACTGATTCCATAAAGTTTTGGAATTTCAACCACCCTTTATTGAAAATGTTTTCTATTTCTACTTCTGTAAATTATTTTTTGAAAAGAAAATGAATTTTGATTCCAAGGGGTTGTATGCAATGGCGGAGACAAAATTTTGGACTATGGGACTCGACCCACAAACATTTTTATATTAACTGTTTATAAAATTTCTCTTCCGAAAAAATCTTTTTTGTGTATAGAAACCGCAAAAAAAAGAAAATGTTATCAGCTTCCAAGGGCATCTTATGCATCTCGTCTAAGCTATAGAGTGAGAATGAAAAAATGTTTCGTTTTTGTATTTTAGATGGAGACTTCGAGTCGACTTTACTTGATAATACCACTAAACATGTAGAAGAATATAAAAAAAAATATAAAAAGCGAAAATGTCTTTATATCTTTATTGCAGTTTTATTATCAATCATTGTTTTGGCTTTAACACTAGCACTAATATTTGTATTTGTAATTAGAAAAAAATATTCACAAAATGACGAAGATTCATATGATTCACCAAAAGGTAAACTTTAAAGACCATCTTAAGAAGTAGAAGTGTTTACTTTATTCTTCAATGAAATGAGTCTTGCGATAATATCACACTCTACATATTGTCCATCCAAAACAAGAATGGTATCAGGATCTTTTGAATAACTTTTGAATGGTCGAAATCAGAGAGCTGAGTTTTTCAAGTAATATTATTTTCATGAATATTTTTGCATCTTTGACAAGGGTTGTCTAGATTTGGATACCATTTCTATTTAAAAGCTAGTAAAGAGTTCTTACAATGGAACGGTTTGTACTGTCAAGCCGCTTTCATGTTCGGAGCATGTGTATTAGATAGACCCCGCTGAGGTATAAAAAAACCCAAAAGGCTATGTGCTGATGGGCCTTCCCTCCAGAGTTACAGTCATTACACTGAAATTTTAGCCTATTGCATGGTATCTACCAAAAACACTAATCACGATAATTCGACCTGAAATTTTCCCCACAAGTAGGCCTACTTGTAACTAGAATGTTCTGCAAATTTCAGTTCCCTTCATAAGATATTGAGTTTCGCAAAAACCTGACATTCTCCAATCTTTTTGTAGAACATGAGTGATTTTGGAAATTCAATATCTCAAGAAGGGAACATTCTTTTGAACTGAAATTTGCAGAACATTCTAGTTACAAGTAGGCCTACTTGTGGGCAAAATTTCAGGTCGAAATATCGT